TTCTCCGACAAAAAGTATTTATTATTTTTGATGAGCAATATTAATATTGCCTGTAGCGCGTTTTCCTCCGGACATATCACAAGTCGAATACGAAAATATGCTTTGAAATCTATATATAATTATAATAATACCCAATAAATCTAGTGAAGCACACGAACATTTTAACATCATCGTTACATCAAAGAAGTATTTCAAAGAACTTAATAATTACTATGGTTATATAGAAGTTATGTTATATATTTCATAATAATATCTTAACCACCAATACCACGTCGAACACTCCCAGGAAACGCCTCTGCCATAATTTATATTAATATAATAAATTACTCGTGTTATAGAGTTAATAAAATAAATRTTTATTGGTACAAAAACAAAGTTGTTTTTGTACGAAGTAGGTATATCCTAGTAGAAGTACATATTTGGCAGTCATCTCACACAACGAGTTGATTTCTATATTAAAAAGGTAACACAAAAACAAACAAAAATTTTAAGAAATTATGATGAAACTTTAATTTAAAATTGTATCTCTAACATTCGTTATATTCTTAACCATAAATATATATATATATATATATATAATATATGTCATGATTTAATACATTTGAATTGAATTGGCACATCTATGCCCACGGTTTTGGAAGATGAGTATTGGGGAAAGCCAATCGGAAATGATCATATCCGTCGTTTGGTTCTTAAATATAAATACCACAGTCAATTCACGATATAACCAAATTTGATAAACTCACTCATCTTGCTCTTTATATAAAGTTTCTCTCATTCAGACGCTAAAAAAACTACGGAAAACTTTAATTTCGAGAAAAACTATCTATGTAAACCTTACCAAATAAAAATATCCTGACCTCCTCGAAAATATTTCTTCCGAAAACGAGAAAAAATAATCAACCTGATCTGAATAGGACACTCAACGATCACCTTCTATAATACCTTATGTCAAGGTTGGAAAAATATCTTAATATATGAACCACATGTGGCGTACAATGCGGTCATACACTTATTAACCTAACGTCGACTTTTTTTCGACAATAACGCAAACACACTCTGACCTCTATCCACGTCCAAGTAATTCACAGTTCATACCCAACTGCTTTGTGGTCAAAATTTGTTCAAAATATTTTATCCCTGCAAACATTCTAATCCGCACCATACAATATTTTAATGACATTTACACATACTAATAGCTTAAGTTTAATACTATGTTTCATTATCAGCGCTTACCGCCGATGGCAGAAAATAGTTATTTCAGTGAATTAGGTACACGATTCGGTACACACTCTTTTTTCACTAAATTTCTATCATTTCGTTTGCATGGTGTCCCGACAATTGAGCACGCGACACTTGAGCGCAGACAATTGAGCGCAGACAATTGAGCGAAGGCAATTGAGCACGGCGAAAGTTAGGTGTTGTGACAATTAAGCATTGAGACAAATGAGCGCTATATAATATTATACTGAACTTAGTAAAAGTTCATACAAGTTCACTGTATTAAGTAAAAAACTACTATATACGAAATGACGAAATTGAAATGAATTCGTTCTCAGTGTCTGCGAATACATATATAACCCGTCAGATAGTCTTTATGTTTGATGATAATCAGATAATGTTATTACTTATTTTTCACATCGTTCATATATCGTATCGATACGCGCAGTGTTATTAAATCGTATATTGACACCCCTTTTAGACTATTTTGAAGACACATGGATTGTTCGTATTAGTCATAACAGGCAACGAAGATCCCCGAAGTTTTCAATTAAATTATGGAACTGTTATGGTTTGATTAAAAATGACATACCAATGACCAACAATGCCATTGAAGGATGCACAATTCATTTAAATCAGTTTTAAATGCAGTTCGTCCATCAATTTGGCAATTTATCGACGCTCCAAAAAAAAGAGGAAAATTTGAATCGCGTGAGAAATCATCAGTTTATTGCAAGTAATGAACCAAAACCAAAAAAAAAAAAAAAATACAATGATTCAGGATTAGAATTAAAGATAATTAAGAATAAAAAATATTTGTGAACAATTTAATTTAAGGTTAACTGAACAGTTTTTAAAAGGCATTGCTCAAAATATTTAATGTTTTAATTTGTATATTATGTTTTGTATACTTGTAATATGTATTATTAACCATATTTTTTTTATTTTTTTTTTTTTATTGACTGTTATGACTAGAGCGCGGATTTCTATTCAATTGCATATTTTTTTCCTTTTAATATTTTTGGATTGTTGTCAGTTATGTCCACGAATCATCATAATTTGAAGCTAATGGTGAAATTCCCTAAATTTTTTTTACTAAGCATTTAAATAATTAATTATTATAAGTTTTACTGTAAATTTTAAATAAATAAAAATGTTTGCATATTTTTTAAATATTTTCATGATTTTGACTGCATATTTTTTGCATATTTTCATGATTTTTACTGCATATTATATGGCATATTTCGATACTTATAAGTGCATAACAATCCGCGCTCTAGTTATGACTAATAATGTATTATTATTAACTGTATAAATTTTTATTTTTATTTTTAAARTTATTACCTAACCTAAGGCTTAAATTGCGCTTAATTTTCGTAGCGCTCAATTGTCTACGCTCAACTGTCGTGAATCCCGTTTACATATGCATGAAATATTTTATGAAAATACTACATTAAAATTATATTTCCTTCAACCAGGCGTAGGTAGGTGTATACTGTATAGGTAATATTATATACGTCCCTTATATTATACCGTTTGTGGAGAATTTACGGCGTCRCCTTGAGGCTCCGAGAAAATCTGAACCCCGTTATAAGGTGGTCCAACGCGACGAATAAATTACCATGGGACATATAAAACGAGTATTATTATATTATGTGGTTCTAATATCACATAATATTATATTATAATAGTGCGCACACGAAAAACGACCATTTCAATCTGACACGAGGATTTAAATGCCAACGCTGTTTACGAAGGCAAATAAAGGCAAAAAACCCTATTCTTATTTAAAGGTTCCATATTGTTGGCCCCCTCGGCCTACCCACTCTCGGTCYATCCACTACCCATCCACGACCAATCCACGACCTCTCGATGCATATTTTTTATTTTCGGTAAACGATATTCCGGCGGCTGCTGGAAATTGATGGGGTGCACTGTATATGTCGTTTCCGATGTTTCCCGCGGTGTATTATTACTATCAGCCCGTTCGAGATTTACGGCACGTCCGTGAAACACATAGAAAATCTCGTTTGGTTTTGGACGAACTGCCGCCGCCGGCCGGATATCGCATTACTATATATCTTTATATATCAAAGATGGTCCATCACCGACCTGCAGCACGTCATACATATTACATTTTACTGGTATTATTTTTATACCCATATATATTATAGGTAAGTACAGTTCCAGATCTATGGTGATCGGGCGGTTCTTGCACTTGAACGCTTTAATATATTATTTAATATATTTTTTTATTAACAATCACAAAAACTGTTCACTTAACTCCATTTATAATTGTTCACCATAAATATTATCGATGTATTATATTTGTACGGTTGCCATACCTACTCAATATAAGTAATGAGAATATGAGTTTAGTATGTTTTGCTGATTAATGTATATTTATAAATTATAAACAAAGGAACAGTTGGTACTTACCTATCTGATTCCTGAGCTTCGTGCGCCTCAGACCCACCAAATACCTGTCTACCGCGGTATACCATTTTCTGCTACTACACATTAAAAAAGTTATTTTATACAATACAAATAACAAAACGTTAATTTATTGTTTTTATTTTTATTTTGCATATTCCCAAATTATAGTTATATTTATAAAATATATATTATAAAGTTATTGAGTGAATATTGAAATAGCAAAAGTGAATTTTTAGAGCCATAACTTTTCAGCTCCATCTAAAACATATCAAATTATCAACACATTGTATTCATATTACCTTTCGATTTTTGGTTAAGATGACCAGCATGCAAGCGATATTTTAAACTAAATTGCACCGCACTTAATATAGAAATTAATGAACAGAGTATATCTATAGGTTCTACAACAGTCAGTATTTTCAGAGTATTTTAAACTTTCTGTTTTCCTTTCAAAAACACAAAATTAATTTTATTGAAACTACTCTCAAGAAGCATTAGTTCATAATTAATGGACCACCTAATCAATAATCGTGAATTGTAATTGCATGTTGTGGCTTTTGCTCAAACAGCTTAATATTAAGTATCATCATACAAGTAAAAAAAAAATGTTTGGTTTGGGAATGATTCGAWTGGTTTTTGTGTCATTATTTACAACCAAATGCAATAATTGTTGTGAAAATCGATAATTTATTTTTATTAATTAACCCAAACCTAAGACTTAGTCAGTGTTATATCTGTAGTTRCATATAAGCRCTCGAAATTATTTTTATTTTATAAGGAAAAAAAAAGTTTTTAATTTAAAAAAGCTGTCGACTGTGTTTTTTCACTTACCAAACACACAACTAAACGGCCGCCGACTTACTCTACGTCCGTTTTCTTTTCTACAAAGTTCGAGTAGGTACRTATTATAAACTGCACGTTGATAGATTTTGAGTTTTTTGTGTTAATGCAATCTTTATAGGTACTTATGAATTGAGATTGTTTGTGATTATATTTTATTGAAATAAATTATACCGTTGTACAGTGTTATAGTTTATATTATTTCTAATATTATAACCAATTCCTACTTTTCTACTTAAAAAGCTGCACTAACCTACCTACTCCCAACTATTTGAAATTCMTGAGCATGCTTCTTACAGCGTTGTTATGCGGCAAAAACACTTTGTATACCTACACTTTTGGTATAATTAGTATAATATCATATTAAGTTATCACTTTCTGATCTTATAAAATAATAAAGCGACTGATACAATACATTATCGTCGACACATGATAATGTAATACATCGACAGTAACCGTGTATACAATTGATCTAACATAAGTGTGTTTGATTTATTTTCCAGGCTCACTCATCCGAACATCGTGCAATTGCTGGAAACGTTTGAAGACAAATCGAAGGTGTATCTGATCATGGAACTGTGAGTATATTATATTATCACGTAATTTTATCTAAAGTTTATCCTGCTCTTCAAAATCGTTAACCATAATAATTTAATGTTATAATTCAAATATTTAATACACAATAATAATGGTTGTTACTAAATTAAATTTACATAAACTAACTACTTAGAGTACCTATAACAGTGGATGGACTTTTATTGTGGTGATACTTTTCACAGAGTACCACAGTTTMAAATTTAAATACCTAGGTGTCCTCTTAACTCAGRACAATGACTTAAACGTAGTGATATCAAAATGAATACAATTGGCGAACTATTGCTATTTTGGTACGGGGAATCTACTAAAATCTAGAGCGATATCTCTAAATTTAAAAATTAAAAGATACGAGTATACGGCATTAAAAAGCCACATTATAWTATATGGATCAGAAACTTTGGCACCAAGAAAGATAGAGGAAATACGATTAGACGTATTTGAAAAAAAAAAAGTCTTGAGATAAATCTATGGCCCATGTCTCAACTTAAGAACCGGAGAATGAAGAATTCGAACTAATGAGGAACTTTTAAACATGTTCCAAAGACCATGCTTGTCAACGGAAGTTGCAAAAAGAAGAGTTATGTGGGCTAGACACGCCTGGAGAAAAAAGGATACAATGATAAATGCAGTAATTAAAGAGGAGCCGAAGGAAAAGACCATTAGGTAGACCACGCATTAGATGGGAAGACTTTGTGAAGAGAGAAGTTAAAAAGGTAAACTCGGGGGTACACTAGAGAGAAGTAGCGGAGGATAGGGAGAAATAGAGTGAAATTTATAGTACGGATGGTCTTAAATATCGGAGCGCCCTCCCCCTCCAAAAAAAAACAAACAAACCACTTTGTTTCTATATAACATTTTAATATAACTTTATGCAATTCTTTCATCTTTTCAATTGCAATCAAATAGTTGTCTTTCGTTCCAAGTKKCATTCAAGTTGCATTTTTATACGATCGTATTTAAACGTAATTACGTATAGTATAATATTGATAATCCAGCCTTAGTAATGAAAAGTACCAGAAATTTAATATTCAAAGAATTTAAAATTTTAATGTTAATTTTTAATAGAGCTTAGTTTTTTTTACTTATGGCCTATAGACCTATGGGCAGAAGATAAGCTAAATTAAAAAGTGGTAAGTCCAAAAAAATATCATTCAATCGAATATTTGGATATTGTCAGATTTATCTCGAAAGACGAATAAAATTACATAATAATAAACTAAATTGAATATCATTGTAAGATTATTACTTAGCATATTTTAACCGTTATCTATATCTATATGTATAAAAGTATACTGCTAGTAAAATCACAGGAAACGAATTTAACACACAATTTGAAATATATAAGAGGTAGGATTTTTAACGGGTTACGGAGTGCACGGATTCAGCTAGTATTTGATATTTACGCTATAGTTGAGCATTTTGTAATATTTCTATTTTATCACTACAAAATTAAATTTTTAAAYATAAATTTCCTACTTGCATCACTATCTAACTRWTACTTGCACAAAAGTAATTTAAGCTTAGAAATAGAATAGTTAATTCTACAGTTTCGGTTCCAATTTAAGTTTTAAAAATTTCAATATTTTTAGTTCTTAAAATTATAAATATAAAATAACTGTAGTGAAAATTGGTTAAAAAGAGACAATCATAGAAGTTATAGCTGAAATGTTTACCAACAATCATGAAAAAAATAATAAATTTCACTGTGCTAGCTGATACTTAGTATTTGTTTTGAAATACTAAAATATAATTGTGTAATTTAAGAAATAATATATTTCGTTGGGAGCTTATGATTGTTTTACGACAAGCTTATTAGGTACCTAATCAGTATATATTATGATGTTAATAAAATTAAAAGAATTAATAATTTAATTCCAATTAATAGAAAACAAAAAAACTATATCACAGTACCTATGGGAATTAATTATGAATCTTAGATTTTCAAAAACTCATGTTTTTAAGCCAYGGTCACAATGCGTGTCCAATATTCAGTGGAATTCTCTCTAAAATATTTGTTATTAATATTATTATTATGATAATACTATTGCTTTTACTACCTAATTTTTAGTATATAATCATTGCGATTATTATRAAAACGCATTCAGCATAAAACATCATTAGATGCTAGTCATATTTCACTACATTTTTTATTCATTTTGAAAATTCATTAAAATCCCTATTTGTGTTATTCGTTTTTATTTACGTGAATAGTCTCAAGAGAAAGCATCATTTGTAGGACAATTAAAATTTTTCAAATGTCTTCGTGTACTTCGTTATTATATTTAATCGTCATCCTCCTCCTACAGCTAGCTCGTTTGTAACTAGCTCGCTTATAAGTTTAATTTATTCTTCTTTCGTCTTATACTGTGGTTGTCAGCGTTACATACCGACCAATAAAAAATAAAYTTGTTGGTACTTTTAGACCAGTGCCGGCAATAGAAAAATCTATTTTAAGAGCACTTAATGTTTTGGTGGTATATACAATATACTTATTACCTTTATTAAATTATGACCCTCTTATCTAAGAACATATTATATACTTTTCTCAAATACTGATCATCTGAGATAAATAAAAAAATATGACCAAATTAAATATGAAAACCTTCATCCACGATTATTTTATCTAAAATCATACTAGAACCTTTGACGATTAATATAAAATTAATAATAATACTAAAAAAATCGCACTCACTATTATAGAGATAATATGTAAGCTTGATGAATTCACCGAATTATTTTTTATAGGTAAAAAAAAAAATACAAAGTGACCCTTAAATTCGACGACATTATAAATAAAGATAACATATCTTATAAAATAACAATCATTTAATGGTATATTATTTGATATTACATGAATTTGTGTGGATATAATGCTAATATATTTTGATTTTATGCTATCATTGGAAAACAGTAATAAATTGTTTTTCTATTTTCCGTCATGTATTTAAATGTATTAAATAATATTTTTATAAAATATATTAATGTATATGTAGATAAAATCGCAACATATAATTGTCAAATTGATTTTCACGCTGTTACATGTCACACCAATCTAAGTTTCATCGACCACACTTTGAATTTAATTGCCGGTTAGATACTTCCCACGTCAATTAAAATATTAATATTAATCTCATTTGTCAAACAGCAAGACATTTAAAKGTATTCGATCGCTACGCAATATAGTTTATCAACTCAATTTAGTCTCTGGCACAATATGATGTTTATAGTTTTCGTTAATACTTCCAAAATTTCTATTTCTAAATTAACGTGTTAAAAATGAAATCATGAACACTTTTAAATCCGTATAAATTTGTTCTACGTTCAATTATTTACAAATTTAAAATTTATGGATATTAATGAGCTATTCAGTTGAAGCACACCTCACTCTACCAATCTACCTTAACATATAATTTATATTTATGTCACTATAGTGAAATTGAATAGGCCGTAAGCTCAGAATCTGGAATCAGAAACTGCGTGAGATTAATCCAGCCAATTTTTCAATAGTATATATTTTTAAATATAGTATTTCAGAGTACACTTTAAAAATCGATAATTTAAATCCAGTGGACTTTGTGGAGAAAAAACTTAATGAGGGCCATAATTTAATTTTTTTTATCACAAAAAAAGGTCAGAGATTTCCCTCGTGTACCTACACGTCAAGCCCGATTTCAGGGTATACTTAAATCTAGTCGTCTTAAACAAGACTATTCGCCCGAAACTCATTAGGTATAATGRTATTGAAACAAAGCTGAATATTGTTGTGCTTTTTCAGGGTGACTGGAGGAGAGTTGTTCGACCGCATCGTGCAGAAGGGTTCGTACACCGAAAAGGATGCAGCCCATTTAATCCGACAAGTGCTGGGAGCTGTGGATTACATGCACGAACAGGGTGTCGTGCACAGAGATCTTAAGGTGAGTTATAATGGTACAATAGTTCAAAGGCTAGTTTAAGGTGTAACGTGAATCATAATCAAACTAAAAAACTGAATAGGAACAAATTAATGTTGTGAATGTTAGTGGC